TAAAAACTTTGTATTATAGGCCAATACGTGCATGTTTACATAATTAACAGTTTAAAAACTTTTAATATATAAATTTACATGTAAATCATTTAATAATATATAGTAAAATAAATCAGCACAATAACAAAATAGTGTTTAATAAATTTTACTTTCGCAAATACTAGTGCTAGTAAATTTTCTACCTTGATTAGCCACTTCAATGTGATAACCTGGAGTCTAGATGCAAATTTTAAGCATAATCTATTATGACTTCTCACTACAAGATAAATCATATTAAATAAAATTTACCAAAGGGTCATGTATGGTCGACATCGCCATAAACGTTATATTATATCAACTTCTGATGCGAAATAAAATATAATCTCCTTCAAAATTTAAAAATTATGATTTTTATTATTTGTATATTGTGATACTAACAATTTTTTTTCAATTCATATAATTACTATATATTATATAAATTATATGAATAGAACTAGATAATTTTTATGTAATACTTATAAACAAACATTTTGTATTTTTTTTTTTTTTTTCATTCCTCTCTTTTTTTTTATCTAGCCTTTCATCCAATTGTAATAATAAGATTTGAGTAAACAATCAGCTTGTACTTCCCTGAATTATTATATTAAAGTGACTAATTCAAAGTATTATTTGAAACATTCGAACACAAACTATGTTTAGTTCTATTTGTTTTTCGTACTTTACACTTAGGTATTTCTTGAGGATCGTTCTCTTTATTAGCACTATTTCGTCGTTTGGCATTTGTCTTTCTTCGTTTTACAGATTTAGATTGAACTCGAATCATTAAACCACCTTTAATACATGCCAAGAGATCTGTGTATTTTTATAATCATAAAGAAAGGTAGTTGCTCATCCAATTGATAGTAATTTGTTGGTTCTGTATCATTCAGCAAACTTATTGAACACCAGTCTTAGTTGTGGTCCGCAGTTTTTATAGTCATTACTGATTTTTTGTAAAAAGTTATTAAAAGACAAATCATCCAAACTCGCTTCTTGATTTTCTGATTCACTAAAATATTAATAGTAGTACAATTTAAGTTATACAGTATATGTATGTATGTATATATATAAAAAAAAAAATACATATATAGACAAATCTAAATTCATCATTTGTGCCAACCTTGTTTACGGGTATCATCATAGCATTTAAATCGCTATTTTCATTAACATTATCATTTGTAGGATTATTTTGGTCAATTAATGCAGGTTTGGTGCATAATGATGCATAGAGTGAACAATCTTTTACATTAAGCCCTAAACAAATTTACTAAAAGGTTACATATAGATACATATATACTGTAGCTTTCATTATAATAATACTAACCACTTGCAATATAAGAAAAAATTATGCGATCGTAGGGTGTTAACGAAGATAAAAAGTTGATGATTCTAATATGGTATTTCATTGCAACAGCACCTTGGTGCTTACATGGTGCACCTGACATTCTAGCAGAACAATTGCATATACCAATTTCACTATTTACATGATATATAATCCCTGATTCTTTTCTTGTACTTGGAACTAAATAATTGTTTATATTTGCTATCTGGCAGATTGAATCTTTATCAACAGCCTCCCATCCAGGGCATGAAAATCTCTTTGCAATTTTCATATAACTGGAATGTTGATGTGCAAATCCATATAGGTGGCATTCGTAAAACCTTTCCATATTTTTAGTGATAAAATAAAAAACTTGTACTAAATTAAATGCCTTGATTCTTAATGCATTTTGTTCTGCAGACGAATCGTCAGTTAAAATATTTTGAGGCCCAATGTCATGTCCATGACTAAAAAATGCATATTCAGGAAGAATTAACTTTAAGCAATTAATTGCTTTTTTAATTGTTATTTCAAGTTCATTAGATGTAATAAACAGTCCTAATGGTAATACGCCAGCTATGCAACTTGTATACAGGAGTGTTATCGATGTATTTAGTGGTTCGAATAATGCAGATGCATCTACATAACAAATTTCTCCAGATTCACGAATTTTCTCGTGCACCCTACTCATTAACCCTGTAACAATACATAACATGAATGTTTTTCCTGTTTGTGAGTCATACTCTTGAAGGATCGCTTGTTCATGACCAGATGCATTATAATTTGAAACTTCCTTATTTAAATGCTGAAACATCAATATGCTATTGAATCTACCAAGCTGAGAGTTATGGTAATGTTCAAAAAGATGCATGACATAGATGTAATCAGGGTTAATTGCATGGTCAGCAAGAGTCTCAATGAGGCTTTCATTTGATGAAGCTAAAATATGCAGCTCATCCTCATAAGTGTACAAAGCAGAAGCAGGTGAATAACCATCGTGAAACATTTGTATAAATTTATTACATATGTTCTCATGCACATGTCTAAAACTAAGCGACGCAGCTGAATTAACAACATGATTATGTTTAAAGCAAATATTAACCTCTAAAGGATAACTAGTAGTTAAACACCAACGTTCTAACCACAAATCCAAGGTTGCTAAACATCCTGTATTTCTATTACGTGCTGATTCTGAGTATTTTCTTTTAGGATCACATTGTTTATTCCTAATGAATACAATGTCTTGACTCTTGAAAGATAACCCATTTGCCTTTGATTCCATATCTCTTAGTTTGCAATATTGTTGTTTTTGATTGTTCCTCAAAAGCTGAAAACCATACTTTTATATCATCCACGGTCGAAATGTTAACAAGCGTATTAACTTCAAATTGCTGAATTTCAAAACCTTCATAGGTATAATATGGTGGCAAGTTTATGATATGTCGAATCATATAGCTATAATTCGAAGAAAAAATAGCCTGCAGAAAATATGGCAATGAATCCCATAACAAAATCTAAAAAGATGCACATATTTTATTGTTATTATTATATAGCAAAAAACTTTGTATTTTCTCTTCATAATTTTATTACCTCACAAGAATTTTCATCATTTGTATATTTAACAAGATTTACAGTATCTTGGGTTACTTTATAAGAATCAACATCCAATTCAATACAGTCAATCTTTATAAATCATAAGAATAAACAACAGTTAAACAAATAATAAATAACAATGAGACAAAAGCAAGCGTAGCTTTAACTTACTTTATTGTCTATGTTTTTATTCACATCAATGTTATTATCCTCACCAGTATCTTTATCCACAACTATGCATTTATCTATTCCAGTGTCTTTATTAGTAATTAAGGTCTCAGAAGTATTTATTTGCGTTGCATCCATATAATTTGAAAATGAGTCTCTTGTATGATTTATAAATACGTCAACATATTATTTGTGACTGTATTGTCTGTACAATATGCGAATGTATTTTTCATGTGATTGGTGAAAGCATTTTCTATACGATTTGCGAAAGTATTTTCTATATGATTTGTGAACGTATTTTCTATACGATTAGTGAAAGCATTTTCCCTACACTTTGTGAGATTATTTTCCACATAATTCGTGATCATATCTTTCCTTACATTATTTACAAACATATCCATATTCTCAACCGTATTATTATTGAATACGAAGGTCATGCTTTCATGAATGCAAAGGTTGATTTTTGCTGTCCTAAATATGAATTGTCTATAAGTTACCATTTTAAAAAAAATTTACAATCCACTAATTACTTACGTAAAATTGGGTCCTTTTTTTTTTT